GTATCAAGTGTTGGCAAATATTTTTCGTTTAATTTTTTTTCAGTTCCTATATCATTGTCAGTTTTCTTAATAGAATGCCTTATAAAACTTTTTTTTTTTTTGCTTTTTTATTATTAGTGCTTTGTGTGTTAACTTTATTTATTAAATATCACGTTCTTCACACTTACACCACATAAAATTCAATTCAATGGCAAAATCACAAAATGTTTAAAACCTGCATATTGTTGGAATTTCCAGTAGGCAGTCTCACATGCCGGAGGTAAAAATATTTTATTCCATACGGTTTCCAAAATATGAAATATATAATAAAAGAATATAAACCTCATTCTATGAAAATTTTGAATATTTTAAATTTGATACAGGAATTAAATGCATTTCTATTCGAAATGGGCACCAAAAAGTTAGCCCAGAAGAGCTATTAGTCTCAAAACAGCATTTTGCGTCGAGTCACTGTAAACAGCTATATCAGTTTTCAAATTATTGCCACCGAATAGTATCACCATGCATTATATTTAAAGAAATTAAGTAATGTAGAATCTGCATAAATGTATGTATGTTTCTTGCACTGCAAAAAAAACAGCAATACCTGCAGACATCAAAGTTTGCACGTTGTAGTCCTCCACTTGAGATGGGCACATGGAAGCCTGAGTCTTGAATTTCGAGTTTATTTTATTATCTACTATAAAGGCCTTTATTTTCGAGGCTTTAATTTTCGCAATTTTCACGAGCCCATCGTAATCATGAAAATTTAAGACTCGCGAAATACTTTTTTTTTTTTTTTTCCCTAAATAATAATAAAAAATCAAATTTTTCATTTACCTAAAATTTAATGATTTATTGCACAGTTACAAGCTTTTTCTTGACAACTTTCTTTCTTATAACTATTTTTTGAATAATATACAACTATATTTCTCGAATATAAAACAATAAAATTAATAGAAGACAGCTCGTTCCCTTTAAATAGTATTGATACCAGCTTCTTTGAAGCCATTCAAAATTATCTCATGTTTGGCTTCAATACCGTTAAATACGCGCACAAACCAAGAAGCACCGTGAATCGGTTTTAGTCTTGATATTCGCAAAGTCCACCAATTCTTTTTACCTCTAGAAATTGAAGCTCATTAGAATACCACTCAATAAACTCATTCTTGAGCAAACACTTGAACTCGCCATTTATGGGACAAGAACAGGTGGGGGGGGCGAACTTTTCTGACAAAAGGAAGTTTCTTAAAATGCTTTATTCAAAAAAACTTTTAATTTTTGGAACTTTCTCAACTTTACTTAAGTACTTTTGAAATTTTTCAGCTTTCGGTTCTGTTCACATAAAATTCGCGAAATTTTCAACTTGCGAAATCACCGTTATATTCATTTTCGCAAAAATTACGGCTCGCAAAAATAAGGGCCTTTACAGTATTTAATATTTTTAAACTTTAACGAACTTTTGATTAATAAACTCAGTGATTTCAAAGTGATCAGTGGCAACAAAACACACTGTGTGGAATAAAATATTTTTATCTCCAGCATGCGAGATTGTTGGTAAATCTAAACTCATGCTATTTTAAAAATATTTTAGCCCAGAAGGGCGTTAGCCTAAATGTCTCAAAATGTGTATAGATCCGGATGGAAAACTTTTAGATTAAAAAAAATCATACTTAAATAATAAATAATTTTTACTGTAATATACAGAAGTTATGATAGGTGGGACTGATAAAAAGGACGTAAGATGGGACGGGATTTAACCTTACACCTTTGTATTTTTTTTTTTGAATCATTTAAATCAATCCAGTTCACAAGAAAGAAATGAATATTTTTAAGAACTGCATCTATTGCTTTCAAATAGTTTAGTTTGTTAGTTTGCAACAGACAGATTCAATTTGAAGGTGAATAAATATCTTACATTTTGCCAAATGACAACAGACTCAAATGAAAAGTGAAATGCACATTTATAGTGATTCAACACAAAATTCCCTTTGAGACTAATAGCCCTTATGTGCTTTAAAAAAAATTCCCTGGAGGTTGTACAAAAATATCAGTCGAAAATTAAATTGTTTGGCAAGCCATGAATATTTATATTCCTTCATGTTACATATTACTTTAATTGATGTACTGTAGAAAGATGAGGAATTACCTGTCTTATGTAATGCAAATAAGAAGTGAGCATAATTCTTAACATCCTATTATTACCTGTGCGAAACAAGATGTATTCTTGTTTTATTAAATTTAAAATTCCATTCAAACAGAAAGTAAACTTTGTGCAAAGTGTGGTGAATTAGTTCTTTTCAATTTACTATTGTTTACATCATTATTATTATGCTGAATTAGTATGCAAAGTCTTAGTGCATTTATTAATATTGATTGCTATTTATTTACCAATTAAAAATATTTTACCCCCAAAAGAAAATTACTATTTCATCATTTAACAGGAGATGTGGACCTCGCCTTTCAAATGAAGCTGCTGAGAAGTTAAAAAATTACTACCTGTTTATGCGTAGCAGTAGCAAAGAGCATCAAGGTGTAGAAAAGAAGTCAAATATTCCTATCACTGTGAGGTAGTTTTATTTATATGCAAAATTATTTTTATTGAAAAATTTTGACTTTAAAAATGTTGTAATAATATAAAAATAAATTTTACAATTTATTATCAGTAAGTGTATTAAATATCTTTAATAATGGTATGTAATTATTAATCATTCATTTTTGAAGAAAGAAATGCAGGTACAATAACAAAACAAATATTAAGCATAGGCTTGTATTTTTCATTCAACAAAACTTTAAAATTTATTGAAATTTCTGAAGTTCACATGTCTGTAATTTAGTTTCTGTAGTAAACATCAGGTTTTAACGAAAGTTTCCCGCCACCACAAATATTGTCAGCATAAACAGTTCACGTTGATGTGTTTAATCATATTTTGTTAAATGATTCCTGACATTTGAAAGAAAGAGATTTGCTTTAGAACTGTGTTTTGAAATTTGTATAAAAAATATCGTTATCATTAAGTACAAAGTGTCTGAAATGGAACCATCACGCTACCAGATTAGAAACATCATTTTCTTCCAGTTCTGTTACAAAAAGGTCAGCTGCAGAATGTCACCAAATCATGTGTACAGCTTTAGGTATTAGGATTGTTATGTCTGAGGATGTTGTATCTGTGAAAGTTTAATACCGAAAGTTCAAAAACAAGAACTATGACATTCAAGGAGCAGAGTGCTCTGGCCGGCCTACCTGTGAGAACTTGTGGGAAGATCAGTATGCAACCACTCAAGAGTGCTAAGGAGTTAGACGTTAGTGCCATGCCCATTAGTCGGACTATGCATCAGATAAACTTGGTGTGCAAGTTCAATTGGTTTTTGCCGCATGAGCTGACTCAAGCAGATAAGGACAGAAATGTTTGGTCTCACACTAATCCGCTCGAATATCAACGCAAGGACAAAATTCTGGTCTAGGTCGTCACTTGTGATGAAAAGTAGATTTACATCAACAACACAGGCCGAAAAGGGGGTTGGTCTGTGTCCATTGAGCCTCTCAGCAGTGCCGCAAAATGCAGTTTGATTAACAAAAAGATCATGCTCTGTATTTGGTGGAATTACAGTGGTATTCACAAAGAGTATCCGAAAAAAGGTAAAACCCTCGACAGTAGAGTCTATAGCGAGATGCTAGTCCATGTTAATGCAGCTATCAAGGAAAAATGTCAAGCTGCACAAAAAAGTAATGTTTCATCAAGATAACGCAAGACCACATGTCTGCATTTACCGGCTGGACTTTGTACGGGCTTGAAAGGTATCTTTTGCCATACTTACCATATAACCTGGATATCGCTCCATCGGACTTCTACCTTTTTTCACACCTGCAGCTGGTGCTGTCTTCCATTCTGCATAGGAAGTTGGAAATGAGGATCTGCTTTTGGGCCGAAGGCTTTGAAAAACTATCAGAACGTTGGCAGAAGATCATAGATTTCGGTTGTGATTACTATCCGCACTAAAGGTACTGCTTTCATTTTTTTTTCCCTAACATTATTAAGAACATTTTTTGGTGGAAAACTTTCATTACAACTAGATACTTACATGTGTTTGTTTCTTGAAAATATATGTTTATTGTTTGAAAATATGCTTTTTGTATTTTCCTTATTAATTTTTGTTATTTTATGTACGTGAAAATAAGTCTTGCAGAAAATACTAATCTTCTATACATAAGATGTATAAACCGGGTAGTCTAAAATCGGTGAGTTTCGTCAAATTCCTCCCTGTATATTTTATAATTTTTTAATTTATGAAAACCAATATGTAATGTGTGATACACTGTAAAAAATGAATTGTTAGTAGACTCAAGATTATTTCTTTGTTGACATCAGTTATGCTTTCTATATTTTGTTAAATCCCTTATACTAATGTTGTAATTGAAGAAATCTTGAAGCAGAGTTTAGGAATTCTGTTTCACTTACACGAAATTGGAGACTAAATGTCTCTTTTAAAGTATCTCTGAGTCACATTTTTCTGAATAATAACTATTGTCAAATTGAAATATTACCTATATCTAACCCCTTCAGTCCTTTTCCTTGACATCTACATGCATTATTTTGAAGTTAAATTATTAAAAAAACTCTTTTGCATTATAGATTTTTTTTGTGCCAATGACAATTTTTCACCTTTAATAATAATAGACTTTAGAAAGATGTTATTTCCTGTAAATTTGATTGATGTAGCCAACTTGTTTCACATTCGAAATTGAATGAGGCAAGTCTGTATTCTTTAGCATTCTAATTTTCTTGATAAGTCTGATTTCAGCTCTATGATTTATTAATAAAACTTTTATCCTTACTTTATCATGTCAATGTATGCCATTATGCTAAACAAACAAACAAAAAATACCTGCATTTTTTTCTTATGATCATCAGTTGGTAAAGGCTAGTTCTTATTTATGAATTTAGTTATTTGAAATATATTGTATTTGATAGAACCACTTTGAGAAATTATTGACAAAGTCTTTTGAACAAATTCCTTTGACATTATTAATAACATTTTTATGTTACAAACAGAAATAATAATCTTTTTTTCTCTGGCAAGTAAAAAATTGGTGATATTCTCTATAAGTTTAACTTTCAGGTTATTTTTTAACAAATCAATAAATTAATTTGTTTATTAAAAACACTTTTCAATTTAATTTTTTGAGGATTTACAATATTCTTTGTCCATATCATCTTACATACAATGAGACACTAAAACATGAGACAGCATTAAAACTTTTCATTAAGAAACATGAATCCAATATTCGTAAAGGAGAAATAAGTAAGGTATTTGGTAGGTAATAATAGTTAGTTTTTTAACCACAATTTTAATTGTAATTCCGTTAAAATTATCCTTAAAATATCTTCCTTAATAAATTAAATGTATTTCACATAATAATTTAGTAAGGTTCCTGGATAATTTCATAAAACGATTTCAGTTTTAATGAGTGTACAATTAACATTTAAGTAGAAATTTTAGCTCAAAATGTTTATTTTATAATCAATAACATTAACAAAGTAATCATGGTAATAAAAATTATACTTGCGATTATCATTTATAATTTAAATAATTATAATTATTCCATAACTGTTTATAATCAAGTTAAATAACATGATATAGTGAATAAATTTTAAATCATTAATAATGTATTTATTTTAGAATTATTGGGTTTTTATTATGCCACATTTATAGGTTTAATGTTTTGAATACCAGATAATGAAATATCCAATTTAATTTTAAAAAATTCAGTACAAAAGCGCCAGTTTAATTAACTGGTTTCACTGTACTCATTCCTAATTTAACCACTTTACTGCCTGTCCCAAATGTTGAAGAAAAAGTGAAATGTGTTGTCAGTAGGTTTGAACTAGCTTTAAACCCTAATATAGCACACTGTAATACTTCTTTGGCGATATGAAGCAACTCCAATGATGGAACACAGCAATAACTTTTATTTAACACTCAAAAATGGTGACATACAAACAAAAAAAAGAAAACATATTCTAACATTTAAAAATAAATTGCATTCTTCGCGCGAGAGTCGCACGTGGCACTCGAATCTGGTTTCAAATATTGCCATTCACAAATACCCTAATGTTCATGTATTTAAATTATTTAAACTACAAGATTTTAATACTATTTAAAGCTGTTACAACCTCTCCCCCAATGGAGAGACTTTTTCCGAAGGGAAAAGTTCTGTAAAATTTGACAGTTTAATAAGCTCGGCTTGCTCATTTGCTTAAAGAGAAAAGGTAACTTCTCTCATAAGTTTCCAAATTTCAGGCCAAAAATTTAAAGTTTTAAACAAATACTTTTACACCACATTTAAAAAGAAAAAAATGGAGAACGTTCAAATACATCAGTTGATCATACATTAAATAATCATACATTCTGAACGTGGTTACGTACACTAAGAGTTATTACATTACTTAATTCTACTCAGAACATCTACGTTCTTGTGCAAAGATCCTTTGCGATGAATGACCTTAAAATCATAAGGTTGTAATGAGAGTGCCCAGCGCATCAATCTAGAGTTGCATTTGGCGTTGGATTGTAGCCAGACCAAAGGATTATGATCAGTGTGAATCAAGAATTCTTGCTGACCATCCAGATAAAAATGCAGTTTCTTGATAGCGTAGATGATAGCAGTGCACTCCTTTTCAGTAGTACAATAATTCTTTTCAAACTTAGTAAATTTTTTGCTTATATACAAGATAGGATGTTCACGTTGTTCATCATCTAATTATCATAGTACTATACCCATGCCATTGTCTGAGGCATTGGTTTGTATAATAAATCTTTTATCAAAGTCGGGAGCATACAGAAATTGGTTTCTTGCATAGCAACTCTTTTAAATTTTTAAAAGCTTTGTCACATATTTCAGACCATTGTATATTTCCTTTTTTTGTTACCCCCTTCAAAGCGTCCGTGAGGGGTGAAGCAATTTCCGAAAATCTTGGTATGTACTGGCGATAATACCCTACCAGTCTTAAGATAGCACGTACTTCTGTTTTGGTTTTAGGTGTAGGATACTCCTTTACAGCTAGGATTTTTTCTTCACCCGGGGTTCGTTGTCCTTGTCCCACAACATGACCTAGGTATCTCACTTGATCTTGTGCAAATTTACATTTTGATGGTTTTAGTCGTAAATTTGCTTTCTGTATTTTCTCTAGAACAGAAGTTAAGTTTTTAAGGTGTTCTTCCCAGTTTTCTGAGTAAATGGCAATGTCATCCAGGTATGGTACAGCGAAGCCTTCGCATCCAGCCAGGACTTTAGTCATAACTTTGCTAAAAAAATAGGGGGCATTTTTTAATACAAAGGGTAAACGTAGAGGCCTGAAACTTCCAAAACTAGTTACAAATGTTGCATGTCTTGGGGCTCTTTCTGTTAACGGAATTTGCCAGTAGCCTCTAGATAAATACAGTTTCGATACGTTCTTCAATATTAGGCAAAGGATAGTATTCAGTTTTAGTAACAGCATTGAGTTTACGATAATCAATACAAGGCCGAGGATCCTTTGATGAAGATTCTATCAAAATCATGGGAGAT